AAAAAAAAGAAAAAGAAAGAAAGACAGGAAAAACAGGGAGGAAAGAATCTCCTACCTGACTGTGTGAAGGCCCAAAGGCCCACAGACCTAAGAAACAAAGGAGGCATAAAACAGTGGAGGCCCAGGCCAAGATGGAGGAGATCATCAAAACTGCATAAGGGTCAAGTGTGGTGGCCCATGCCTGTGATCCCAGCAATCAGGAGACTGAGGCACGAGGATCACAAGTTCAAGCCCTGCCTGGGTAATTTAAACACTTAATGAGATCCTGGCTCAAAAATTTGTAAATAATTAAATAAAAATCGTCTGGGATATAGTTTAGTACAGTGGGGAGGAAGGAGGACTAAAGTACAAAGGAGAATGGGATTTGACTGCTTAACAAGGACCAGATGGGGCTGTGGCTCAGTGATAGACCCTGCTGAGGCCCAAGTTCAGTTTCTAGTACTTCAAATATAAATAGGGTTGAGGAAATAGCTTAGTGCTGTGTCTGCCTGGCAAGCGCAAGGACCCGGGTTCGATCCCCAAATACCATATGCTGTACCAGGCCCAGAACCCTGGGTGCACAGTGCAAGCCACTGAAACTGGGCATGGTGGGGGACACCAGTAATCCCAGAGCTGGGGAGGCTGAGACAGGAGGATCATGCACATCTGAGCTGCATAGTGAGACTTTGTACTAGATAAAAAGCTTTTTAAAAAATTTTAAATAGGGGCCGGGGAGATGGCTCAGTAGGATAAGTGCTTGACTGGCAAACGCAAGGATCTGAGTTCAATTGCTGGTTCTGCAAATAAATAAAGGGAAAATCATCAGATGAATGGACAAAGTTAATCATATTTGGGAATATTTCCTACCCAACAACAAGGGGTGCCCTTCTATTTTCTGATATCCTCTTTAATCTCCTTTCTCAGAGTACTGTAATTTTCAATGTAGCAGTCTTTTATTTCCTTCATTACATTGATTCCCAGGAATGTAATTTTAGGGTATGCTATTGTGAAAGTTTTGGTTCCATATTTCTCTCTCAGTGAGTTTGTTATTTTGTACAAGAATGCTATTGATTGCTGAGAGTTGACTTTGTATCCAGCTATGCTACTGAATTTGGTTATTAAATCTAGAAGTCTTTTGGTGGCATTTTGTTGTCTTCTTTGTAAAGAGTATCATGCCACTGGCAAATAATAATGTAAATTCCTTTCCTATCCTTATTCTTTTTATTTTTTTTATCTTATCTAATTGTTCTGGCTAATGTTTCTAGAACTACATTGAATAAGAGTGGTGACAGTGCACATTCTTGTGTTGTTCCTGATTTTAGAATAAAAGCTTTTTAGTTTTTGTCTATTTAGTATGATATTGACTATTGGTTTGTCATAGATGGCTTCTATCAGATTGATATAGTGTATGTTCCACTTTTCTGTAGTTTTTTTTTTTTTAATTATAAATGGGTGAGGGACTGCCAAATGTTTTTTTCTGTATCTACAGAGATGATG